GCGCGGGGTCAGGGCGGCGGGTGTCCCAAGTCTGTGCAGCCCCCGTGGTGGCAGTCGCCCCTCGGAGAGCTGGCATGAGGCAAAACTGCGGGACTTGGCAGGAAGAATTAATTGTCCTGACCGCGAGCCTGGCACGCACGTACATTCTGGCCGTGGTTTTAAGCCTTTTCCATGAAATCTTAATGAATTTTTCACAAAAGGCACGGGTTCTTGTTTTAGTGAGCGTATTTGCCCAAGAACCAAAATCGGGTCTCCTGAGACGGACAAAATCGAGGCAAGCCTTCTGCTGGCAAACGCGGTCTAGTGTAATCACACCGAAGTAGAGGCAGTTGTGGTACATTGGTAAAGACGGTTGCAGTTGTTCTCTCGGAAGTAAGATGAAACATGATGATGATGAGCCTTTTGCTTATCCACCAAATTCGGTGCAAGTCTTACAAAATTGGCAGAAGTATACAAGCAAATCGGTGAGTACCTGGCACTGCTGCTACTTCAGCACGTGCTCGACTATTACCAGACATTAGAGAATCGGCACAGAAAAGCCACAGACCCAAGTCCCAAGGGTGCCAGCCACACCAGCAGCTTCAGTTAGTGCTCAGAGCAGAAGACAAAACGTACAGGACGCTTGAATTTGCTAGTGCTGTTGCTCATGAAACTACTTATTTCAAGTATGGAAACTTGTTTGTTGCACACAAAAGAACTTAAATTTTTAAGTTCAAGGTGTGGGGTTTTGTTTTCCTAACGCACTATTCACAAAACAGTGTTCTGGCATGTTTTGCCCCTCACCCACTCCACCCCACCCAGCTTTTTTAAATGCTTTATATCAAGGATAGACTTACAGAATGCCTACGTTTTACTCAACTTTACCAAGATATGATTTTTTTTATTTTTGTTTTTTTTTTTAACATGTAGCGACTCTTCTCCTTCTCAGGATGACAGGAACAGATGTGTTTGGAATTACTGTACCTCTTATTACCAGTACTACTGGAGATAAACTGGGAAAGACTGCTGGCAATGCAGTTTGGCTAAATAGAGATAAGACTTCTCCATTTGAGCTATATCAGTTTTTTGTCAGACAACAAGATAACATAGTTGAAAAGTAAGTAGTTTTTCTTCATCTTGCTTTTTGTCATTGTTTATAAAACCTGATCCTAATTGTTCTCTGTAACTGTTTCGCGTGGATATGTGCAGCGCGAGCTCCAGAAGTAGATGTTAATTATAACTGTACGTTCATTAAATGAGCAGGCATGACTGGTTCCTAAGTATACAGGGTAGTGGAACCTGTCTCCGTATGCTGGCATATGCATCGTAAAACTGGAACGTGGATGAACAAGCAAGTGAAGCACAACACGTTTTGTGCTACCCGTGGGGTGACTTTATCTTATGAGGCTTGTCAGTTTCAGTACTGTGACATCACAGTACCAAATGAAATCTCTCCTGCCAAGTAATAAGCAACTGCAGTTTAATAGATGTCAATTACTACAAGTTTTTACCTAATATGAAGTATCCAGAAACACTACATTCTAATTGCAAGAAGCTACTTAACTGGTTATAAACAAATACATAAAGTTCAGCTTCTAGAACTGCACCACATTAAAAACTGCGTATCCCTAAGTGAATTGAAATAGTGCCTTGTTAGGAAAAAGCCAAGAAGTTCCTATTTATGATTGTATTAACTGTGTAGATTAGCAGTCATGCGCCCCTATCAGTAAAAAAAATCTTGAGCATGCAGTCCCAATACCTGTGTATTTATTTATAGATTATATAAATGTACTACTGAAGTTCTAAAATTTTCTTCCTGCACCCCAATGGATCATCTTGTGTACCTCCTGGGGTGCTGGCACCCCACTTTGGAGACCACTGGTCTAGCTAAAAACATGCCTAGGAGACAGTTAGCACTGCCCAACTACTACTTAAAGCTGTAGCACATACAAAGACAAAATTCTGAATAATCATTACCTAGGGTAGAGCAATTCCAAGGAGCAAAACCTCATCTTGGATTCATTGTGCTATCTCTGAGTCCACGTCAACCACACATAACTCATATTCTTACTGACCAGTGTAAAAATATTAAAATCATATAATGAGAACATGAAAGGGTAGCGAAAATATGAGAAATACCATTTGACAGGTTTCCTTCACTGATGGCTAGCCTCCATGCTGGTGTGCCAGTTAGATGGCTGAAAATAAATAGCCGATAGCTTTATTCAGGGCATTACATTAATTTTAGTGAGTTGCTATATGTTCTCTCTTAAACCTGCTTTTCTTTAAACTCCAATATTACTGTCAAATCTGAGTCTTCATAAACCTCAGACATGTATTTCCCTTTCATATTGTGACCTGTCTCATAACTCAGTTACCTCTTTCAAAGGTTTATGCCTTGATATTTCAAATTCAGGTTCTGCATCCACAACACTTTTCAGACTGATAAGAAGGGTATGTGGGTACTTGACATTAAAATGTTTCTTGCGTTCAGACTTTGTAACAGTAAAGGTACCTTTTTTTAATACACTGCATTTCATACTACTGCAAGTCCATTAAAATGGACTGTGCTTAGATAGGCACCTTTAAATTCTCGATTATCCTTAATAATCTTCCTGTTGAGATACTCATCAATACATAGCATACTTCTGTCCCATGATCACCACAGAATGGCAGTGGTACTTTGCATTAGCATATTGTGCAGCTAGTAAGAATATAATATAAAACCTTGTTAGTTGACACAATTGCAATAAATCCTGTAAAGTAAATGTTTCAAGAGAAAACCAAGTTGTTGATTGCAGTACAAGCTTTATAAAAGCATTTGACACTACCTTATGTCTGAAGACATTACCCTAACTGGAATGCTAAATGTGAGTTATTCTGGTAAGCTGAAGCATGTGGGCAAAAACAGAGTTGTTTGAAAGTCAGAGTATCTGTAATACGGATTTCTTAAATTAAGAATCATTTTAGGGTAGCTAATGAAGTTTGAATGACAAAGGTAGGAAATCTGTAATGATGGCTATATAGACAAAGTAATTTTTTCCTTGCTCGTAGATACCTGAAACTCTTCACCTTCATTCCTCTTGAGGAGATTGACCACATCATGGAAATGCATGCTAAAGAACCTGAAAAATGGGGCCCTCAGAAACGACTTGCTGCAGAAGTAACCAAGCTTGTTCATGGTAGAGAGGGGCTAGAATCTGCTAAGAGGTGAAGTTTGATTTGTCGAGCAGTTTTCTTTCAGATTTATTCAATGGTAATTATCCATAGCTTTTCAGGGACTATTTTCATGTAGTTACTTGTTGCTCAGCTGTTAAAAGAGAAAAACGTAGTAATTCTGTAGACTTAAAAATACATTAACTATAAAAAAAAATTGCAGTGCAGTGGGTTACGATAAAAAAAAATTGGGGTGTACTTTAAGTACTTCCATTACTGTGTGGACCCTCAGAAGAAGTTGGGGAGGGAAATCTGATTAGTTCAGTAGCGCTTTGTGTGAAGATGAGAGTAGCACTGTATTTTGAATGATCTTTGTTCTCACAGGTGTACTAAGGCCCTTTATTACAGCAGCGTGGAGGCATTGGAAGCTATGTCTGACCAAGAGTTACAGGAACTTTTTAGACAAGCTCCTTCAGCTGAATTGATGCTTGAACCTGGAATGAATGTTCTTGACTTGTGTCGCAAAGCAAATGCCATTCCAGATGGACCTAGTGGGTATGTTATCACCTGTGCTCTTTGGTAATACCTCACATAAACAGGCTGTAGTGGTATGCTTTCAGAAGTTAAACAATTAGGACAGCCAATTCAAGTAGAAACAGGCTAGTGATCTACATACCAGCATTAAGGAAGAGGGGAGCAGGCGGCCTCATTCCATTTTGATGTGAAAGTGTAGGATAATGCAGTCTCATGTACCTTAGCTGTAAAATCTACACTTGAAGGGACAGTCGAAGGCAACAGCCTAAGTTTCCTTATACCTCTCAGAAAGAATGGGAGTGGTAGAGGCTAAGGTTAATTTCAGTCACTCTTGACCTGGACTAAAAGTAAAGTGCAAGAGAATTAAAATTTATTCAATTATGGATCAAACTAAAAAACCCTTAACTGAACTTTCAATACTTAACAGCAATAAATAGCTGCTTCTTGCAATTACTGGTTGTTGTTTTTGTTTTTTTTTAAGGTATCAGAAAATTACAGATGGTGGAGTTTCAATAAATGGGATTCGAGTAACTAATCCCGAGACTGTTCTTATTCTCGGACAGCATATTCTCAAGAATGGAGTATCATTGCTTAGGATTGGAAAGAAAAATTACTACATTATAAAATGGCTGCAGTTGTGACGAGAACGTCTCCCTAAAATGATGTATCATTTTCACTCTCTTGCTCAAAGATGTACTTAAGATGTTTCTACACTGTGCATTGCTACGCAGCTCACAGACTGCCCAATACCATAGTTTCATTCTCAAAATACACCAACAGAGTTCAAACAAAGGCAGCTAAGTTATACCATTGAAGAGATTTTTAGATACTCTGCCTTATTCAAAGCACCATTCATAAGAGGATATGCACAAGAAGATGAAAAGATTAATTTCAGAGTCTGAAGATGGAGATGCTCTTCCCCTCCATTAACAACCTTCTGTGTTGTAGAACAGTGGCCAGGTACTCTACAGCATAATCCACAGCAAGATGAGCAAAAGCATACTTGAAACCAGTACTTCTTACAGAGGATGCATGCTGCTGTCCAGTTTGACTTCATCCCAACAGAGAAAGCTGCGGAAGTGGGTAAGGAGGACCCACCTATGATCAACATTTTTTTTTCTGAACAAGTTTGCTTTGAAGGAAGCTGCAGAAGATTCACAATAAATGAGTAGAATGATTAAGCCCTAATATGTAAGCTTCTTACTGTTTATGTATGGGGGCATTTGGAAAAAAGCTTTCCAGCCTTAATGTGGTAATACAGAGCAAATTCACTTTTTGAAATATAAGAGAGTATAGAGCCTTTCAAAGCTTAAATCAGCCTGATGAAGCCCTTTTATGCCACTAAGCACACACACTGTGTGCAATGTGGGTGATACTCATTCCGCTGCTTCAGTCCTCTGAATTACGTGGATGCCTCTGTGCTATCTGGAATCTTTGTTGAAGGTGTATCCTGGCACTAGTTCTGTGAGCTCTACAGTCATTTGCAAGATAGTATATTATACCAGAAGATTTGAAGCATGTACATGAAAACTTTTTTGATTTTAGATGCCTAGGAGTTGTGGGTGAACAGCAGCACAAGGGTATCATCTGGACCAGGAAACGTGAGGGAAGCTATAGTGCTTTTGCAATTAAAAAAGTCAGACCCTTCAGATAGGGCAACATGCAAAAGCTGCACTTCTTCACAAAAGAGCAGAAAGTGATCCTACTGCTTATGGCCTAGCCAACATTTGGGATCATAGCTTCCTCATTTTCTTGTAAAGATGGCATGAAAGTGAGAATGTACTTCAAGAGTTGGTAGAATAGCAACATCTACATTTAAAGGTAGTATTACTTTATTGCTCTGAAACACCACCACCCCTTTTTATTACTAGCCACTACAGCTGCTTACACACCTGGAATCAAATAAGCATGGAGTACACCACCTTGCTAAAGTCCCTTCCCATGGTGGGGTTTGGGATTGGGTTGCCTAGGCAATATAGGTGCCACAGTATTTCAGCCAGGTCACCTGAACAACAACAAAACCCACATGTGTTTTTACCAAGATTATTTGTAGTACAAGCCCATATTTGAATTACTTAGAACTGGTTAATTGACTTAGAATGCAGTAATGTAGCTGGCTGGCTCAGAACTTTTTTATTAAGGGACCCTCCCTGCCCCAGTGCAAAAACATAAACCCCCAGTCTCATTTATGAGGTGATTGATTGCTTTGGGCCTTGGCTGCAGTGTTGTTTTCAAGGTGTAGAGTAATCCTCACCCTTAGGCCAAGGAGAGTGATTTCTTTGTCCATGAAACTCCTAGGCAATATAGTTCTGCGGTCACAGCAGCCACAGGGGAGAGGCCTTAATCTTAGCTACGTGAATGTGGCAACTCATCACCATCTCTTTTATATTGTTCTAAGTCATGGTATTTCAGCTGGTTTAAAACCACCCAGCCTATAAGAAGAATGGGGAAATCGTAAGAAACGTAAGTAAAGTCCCAAGAATCCAGATATTCTATAGTTGGGTGGGGAGTTTCCATTGGGTTTTTTAGGTGGGTGGTTGTTTGGTTTGTTTCTTTTTTACATGATGTTGATCAACTTGATGTGACCAACTTAGTGTTAGCTTTATTTGCACTGTCAATCAAGATTTCAGTATGTTAGTAAGTCTCAAGAATCCAGATATTCTATAGTTGGGTGGGGAGTTTCTGTTGGGTTTTTTTAGGTGAGTGTTTTTCAGTTTCTTTTTTTTTTTTTTACTTGATGTTGATCAACTTGGTGTTGGCTTTATGTGCATTGTCAATCAAGATTTCAATAGTAATAAACTATAGTGGCTTGCTGCTTATACATCAGTTTCTTCAGCTTATTAAACTGTAATATGGTAGCACTTTTACTAGCTCACCACATGGAGTTACTAGTGTTAGTTCCTAGATCCCACTTATCTGCCTGATAATGAGATATCTCTATCCTAATCTCCGTTACATAAAGAAAAATAAAAAGTAGTCAAGTCATTCCTACCTTAAAAAAAAAGCTCTACGTAGCCTGTTAGCCTTCAGGACCAGTTTGTGTTGCTTGTTACTTTGCCTTAAGCTGCAGTAATGATCAGCACTATCCTAAACAAAGCATATGGAGGAAAAAACCACAAGGGTAGAAGAAGGGAAGGGAAAGTTAAGTTCATCCACTTAATATAGCTACCTTGTTCCTTAAATGGCAGAAGTATTATAGCAATATAGAAACACGCACCTGGCAACAAAATATACCGGTACACACCCATGTTAGCCTCCAGAGAAATACAACAGATCAGATTTGACAGTTAGTTTCTGGTTGCAGGAAATAAACTGCTAGGAGTAGAGCAAGTCATGTTTCATGTCTGACCTCTCTTCAGCCTTTTTCCTTCATCTCCAAATCATAGAATCGTAGAACAGTTTGGGTTGGAAGGGACCTCTAAAGGTCATCTAGTCCAACCCCCCTGCCCTGGGCAGGGACATCTTCAACTAGATCAGGTTGCTCAGAGCCCCGTCCAACCTGACCTTGAATGTTTCCAGGGATCAGGCAGCCACCACCTCTCTGGGGAACCTGTGCCAGTGTTTCACCAGCCTCGGCATAAAAAAATGTCTTCCTTCTATCTAGTCTAAATCTACCCCCCTTTAGTTTAAAGCCATTCCCCCTTGTCCTGTCACAACAGGCCCTGCTAAAAAGTTTGCTGCCATCTTTTTTATAAGCCCCCTTTAAGTACTGATAGCCTGCAGTACTTAATACAGATGCAGATACACATACATCCACAAATTTCAGCTTTTTCTTAAAAGCATTAGTACCCACTTTGATCAAGTATTAAAAGGATTTTATTTATTTTTACAAATACAAAAGTGAATTAAATTCTTGGCATACAAGGGTTTTAATAAGATCCATAAACTCCAAGAAATTTAGTCCACACTTCCTTTTGACCAACTCCTAGCAATCCAAACCCTTCCCTGACTCTTTCCAAAGAAAAAGCTGGACACAACCACTACTTTTCATGACTGTACAGGTTATCACAACTGAGCATTTGAATACTTAGGCCGAGAATCAAGGATGACCAAAAAAATCAAGTATTCTTTCTTAGCCTGGTCTCATTTCCCATATACCCCAAAATGGGTATGTTCAGGTAATCAGATACATAGCTTGTTCAAATGTAAACAAGTAGTAACTAATATTAAAGTATATTTAACATATCTACAAATGTGCGATTTGGAAGTGCAAGAAGAGAAGTAATTATTTGGGCCAGATAGATACTAAAAAAAAAAACCACCAAAAACATTTGTACAGCATCTAGGGACAGCAAAAACTGGAGGACCTGAATTTAACATTATTGTGGCAGCTAGCAGTGAAGAGGTAAAAAGGGTGAAAGGGCGCACAGCAAGTAAACTAAAAGGGAGCTATGGGAGCATGAAAGCACCTTCACTAGTTTAAACAGTGTCAGTAGGCATAAAACTATATTCAGGTGGTCTACTCCGTCTTTCTTTTAAACTTTGAAGTATTAATCGTCTAGCTCTCACCTCAAAGCACAGAGTTTAACTGGCAACAAGTTAAAAAGCAGATGCATTTGAGATCTTCAGTATCTACAGAAAACACTAGCTAACAACCACTCTCATAGCTAAAGGATTTAACTGTGAAAAAAAAAATACTCAAGATGATAATTCAATTCAAGTTACCAACAGGGGTACAACAGACTGGCAAGTTGTTTCCCCTGCTGTATTCCATAAAGCAGGGACCTGAGTTTGCAGTGTCCCATCTGGCATCTTTCAAAGTCAATCCTCCATAAAGCACAGGGTAAAGGCAAGTTTTACATAAGTTTTATGTTTACTTCAAAACACAGTTTGAAGGACACAGACATCCCCCCTACCCATCTATTCCACTAAGTGAAATTTGAAACTGATTACTACAAAACCCAAGCAATTTATTGACAAACTCTGTTCACATAGGGATACTATGTTTTATTTACAGTAGTACCACACATGGGTCAGGTATTAATGTCAAACATTTACTAATCTAAACTTAACTACAGTGGTTATTCTCCCCCCATGATTGTGTGTTTCACTGCATAGCAAGTTATTTTAAGTTGGCTGAAATTTGTGCATTGATGAAAAAAGTATTTCTAGTTTAAATTAAATAAGGTGAACTACAAGACATTTGTAAACCATCAGTTTAATCTGGGAATTTTTCAGTTGCTGCCTTCATTAGGCTTTTTTCCATAGTTTCCCCATAATTTCTTTTAATGGTGGCAGTAACAGTAGCATTTTAAGTATTTTAGTTCAATTCCAGACAACAGATTGTTTAAAAACCGTTGCTAGCCACTAGCAGCCTGACTACACTATTACTTACGCAACTATACAAGAACTAACAATGTAGAATTGCATGAGGGCAAGTGCAAACATACGTAAGGCTGTACAAATACAGATAGTTACAACACTATTAACTTGTAAGAGCATATTCAGTCCTGCCACCTGAACTACAAGTCAGTTCAAAACTTTGTTTCTGGGATAATTAATTTTGTGTATTATCTGTTTATTTAATAACAGGACTGTTACAGCACGGATTTTTGAAGACTTGCATTAAGGATTACAAATCAAGTTCATTTCTTGGCACTCAAACTTTACCAAATTGAAAATTTTTGTGAAACAAACAAAAAAGTCATAACCTTTCAAAAAACAAATTAACACTGTGGAAATTTCACATGACATTACAGAGCCAGTTATCACTTGCAGGAATTTCTTAAATAAATGGAATTTATTTGCTTTATGCAGCATTTCAAAACTTTACAAGTCAGAATATTTCTTCACAACAGACTGTTGACTGAACATTGGGAGTTAAAGCTTAGGTAGCAGTTCACTTATGGACGGCTCTACCTTGTTGAAAACATACTACTTAGACGTTGAAAGTAGAAGGGAACGAGGTGTCAAGTGAATTCCAACCAGAAATGTAATGATTTTGACAAAACTATTAAAAGCTTTCACTGTTCACCAAAATTGATTTGAGAAGTGGCTTGCACTTCAACTTCACTACAGTCACATTTCTTCAATCTGAGAACTACCATCCCTGGATACAATGCAAGAAGTTAAAATTACTTCCTTTGTATTCATTACATGTAATGTATACATCACGACATTTTAGGCTGTTTAAAACTACCGAATGTATTTCTGTGTTCTGCATGAATTATTTCAGATCATCCATAAAAATATCCAAAAGTTGCATCTGTCGGACTTAACTCCTTGTGCTTATATTGGTGCCAAACTGAAGATTACAATGAGATAAATACATTTTTAAACAGACCTTCTTGTAAACCAAGGTCTTAATCTTTAGCAGCTTACAAAAAGAATTCCATTTCTGTTAACTGATGAAATGGGGAAGGAACTGAATATGGTAATAAAAACATCACTATATTGGCCCAATATCATAAAAGCAAGCCATGGATGTTAACAGCAGTGTCCTATTTTTCATGCAAGTTGTGTTAAAGATATAAAATATGAGCAACACCATAGTAAACATTTTTACTTTATACAAAAAAGTGAATCTGCTTGAAAAGTACATGCAAGTGTGCTGGCTGGAATTTAAATAAATTTTTATTCATAAAAATTAAAATGTTTACTTTTTAAAGGCTAGTGTGATCAATATTTATCTGTATGAATTATAACCAGAAGAAAATAACTCATCAACTTAATTTCTAACCTAAAATTCCCTAATTTTAGGATTGTCCTCAAAAAAAGAAAAAAAGCTACTTACAGCACAGTAAAATTTCCTCAAAAGTAACTGTAATCTCTGGTATAAATATTGCAATCCCACAGACTTCTTTTCATACTGTCATACATTCCAAAATTTGGAGGAAGTTGTGGGGATCCCCTTCTCCCTGGCCAACTTAATCTGTTTTTAAAAGAAACACTTACTATCCCGTAACAGTTTTGAAATCCATGTTTATTTTTCAATTCTGCCAGAACAAATCTACTATTGGATGGTCCAGGGGCTTGGTCCCAGGGGGGAGGAAGGGGAAGGTGTTCTTGTACCTGATTATAATCCCCAACATTTATACACAAGCTCCAGTGCACATGAATAACTTTGCACCCACTTTTTCGTAGGCTGTTACTGTTTGCAAGCTCCAGGCTAATTCTTCCTACATGATACTCCATTAAATGAAGTTCAAAGTTTTGTCTGCAGTTTTAACATTTGGGGAAAAAAAACGGGGACACACATACATAGTAATACGGTAGACATCTCTACTGTGCTATAAAATTGATACCTCCATCTGTCATAGTGCATGCAATATATTCATGAATGAAAGTACTCGGTGCGCTCTTCTCTCCACAGTATTTAAACTTCTATTGTAAAAGCAGCTTAAAACTATGCCACAAGACTACACCGTCCATCTTAACCACAGGCAACCTGTTTAGCAAGTCAGGCACTGGAACTTTCATGGTTTTTTCCCCAAGTTCAAATGAGACTGTCGCTGAGACAGTAGACTTGGTCTGCTTTAATTTGCACCAGAAAGCTGGTAAGGAAACATTTAGAGCCATTTATTATGTGGATTAAATATGACTGATTTTGCAAAATACAGCACATTTTTCTGTTTGCAAATCAAACCAACTGTCTTTACATGAGCAGATTTACACAGTCGCAGTACACAGGTAAGAGTTCATAAATAAAAATTCTACTCCGTATACCATGCCTAGCAATTTTGAAGTCAATGTAACCTCCGATGCATATAAATAGAGTGGCTGGTACAGTCTTCACCAAAGATGTGTCTCACGAATCTCTGCAATGATCTGACTGGCTCGCTGCAGGGCCTGCACACAGAAAGACAGAAAAGCTGAAGT